ATTAATAGATTTAATTCTTAATCTGTGCTCTAACACAGCTCTGCACCAATGCAGAAACAGCTACTTGGGAGCCCTGAATTAAAAGCAAATACAAAGAGAGACAACAAAGCACATTTCTATTACTGCAAACAGGCAGGTTCAGTCTCATGACATTTCCTGAAGATCAAAGCTGACATTTTTGATACTCCCTATTTACAAATTTCTTTGACTAAGTAGGATTAATATGTGTTATTTCTGAACATTTTTTTCTTATAAAGCAATACTTTCCAAAAGTACTGCTGTCAAATGTTTTACAAGCAAGAGAAGAAACCAAGAATAAATGTGCACATGTAGATTCCTACTCTCTATTACCTGTACCTAAGATTTGCCTTCCTAAAGATTAGGAATATTTCAGCATATCAGAGCATTAAATCACCTTAATACCCATACAGGGGAAAACTTGTCTGAGTAAAATTAAAAGTAGTTGGAGCAAAACAGAGGCTGCATTTGTAGTACTGAGTCAGCTGAATTGTCTAATGAAACGTGTTTTCATCATAATCATTAAGGTCAAAAATGAGATACACGAAAACTGAAGTATGATGTGCTCATTAACACAACAGCTTTATGGTTTTGATATACACAGTTATCTCAGCATTAGGTTCACCACACATACAGTCACTTGTGCTTAGTTGTTTTCTCCTCAAACTCAGTGTTTTTCTTATTGCTGAAGTCCCTTTGGGGAAGGAGAAAAAAAAGTCACAGGACTCCATGTTTCCTGGATTAGCCGTATCTTTTGTGTTTACAAAGCACATGAGTTTATCTAGAGCTTCTCCTAAATTTAGTTGTCAGGTCACTGGGCATTTTCTAGTCTCAAGAGCACCTCCAGATTTCCACCTTCCCTTCAGTATAAGAACACAGGACACCACAGATCTTTTCTGGGCAGAAATAACTAGCAGGAGGCCAGGCACCCAGCACTGGTGTTCGGGAATTTCGCTGGAACATTTGTATGACAAATCCTCCACTGTGAATTAAGAGGATATGAGTGGGAGAGAAAGAGAGGAAAAACCCCCAATTGTTGCAGCATTTCCAAAGACACTGACCAGGTAAGGGTTAACCTGGAGTTCCTAAGTATGCCTTGTTCTGGTTTTAGGAGGAAATGAAAGCTTAAAAAAAAAGCACCAAAAAGCAAAGTTATAATAAAATAAATTCTTGATTATTTAAGGGTGACAAATAGTAAGTATTTTAAACACTCAGATCACAAAGCAGGCAATAAATAAATAAATAATAAAAAAAAAAANACTCAGATCACAAAGCAGGCAATAAATAAATAAATTAAAAAAAAAAAAAAAAAAAAAAAAACTTCAATAAATACAATCATCTTTCATATAAGTCTCGCCTGCTAATAAAATAAGGCTACAGGGTCTATGTTGGGCATTTCAACCTTTTACATCTCTTCTCCCTGCTGGTTCCTGGTATTGTACACATAGATCTTTTATTTCTTTTTAAAATGGACCTTTGTCTCTTACTTCCTGCAACACTTCCATCTTTTAATTTGCTGCAGTACTTCATCCCTTGTTTGGGCTATATTAGCAGCTGCAAGACATCTTGGCTCCTCCTTTTACCCTTCTAAAATTATTGTTCTGCCATTTGTTTCTCATCAGCCCCCTGTTCACCAGAAGATCTTTTTTCAAATTAATACTTGTAATGAGTTTACAGTTTTCCACAGAGAAATGATACTAATACATTACTTCTAAATAGCAAGCTAGCCCAAGCTAGTTTTAAATTTTGCTTTACCTGTAACAGGCACTTCCATACATGCAAGGTGTCCTCTTATGCTGGATCTTTTTGGAGCTTTCTGAAGCATCTGCACTTCTGGTTGAATCAGAAATCTCAGTCTCGCAATCCATACTTTCATCAGGCTCAAGAATCCCTTCCTGGGCACCACAATATTGGGAAGTCCCGCCCCAGTGAGCTTGTTGGCTTGTAGAACCAGTACTCTGCTCTTTGTTTTCTGTTTTCTCAATTCTATTGTCTTTACTGGAGGTCTGACCTACTCTTCTAGAACATTTGCTATGCAGCTGCCTATAATTTTTTTCCAGAGAACTTCCGGGGTTTTTTGTTCCAGTCTCGCCATTTCCTTCCATATCTCTCGTGGTATTCTCAAGAGGAAATCCAGATGTATTCTGTGGAACAAGGTTACATTTTGAAGGACCTGAAAATTTACACTCCAGAATTCAAAGCTTTAAAAGTCAAACTGTGCCTCGTCATTCCTGCTTTCAAAATCAGACAACCACAGAACAGTCCAGGTTGGAAAGGACCTCGAAAGACCATCTGGTCCAGCCTTTAAAATCTTCTAATCCACTTTCCAAGCTAAAGTTCTCTGCTAAACAGTGCTGCTGAATGAAAGGCTGGATTTAAGAAAACAACACACAACATACTTTAAAGAAAACTTATCCTAAAGCTCCCATTTTTGGCCTCAGTTCCCTCACAACACAAGCTCCTCTCTCACCACCTCAGTTCTTGAACAGTCCAAGGACTTTAATTTGAATTAACTTCCAATCAAAAGTAGTACTCTTGAAAAGATTAATGGGCATTATATAGATGAAGATACAGTAGACTCTGGAAGAACATACACTCCTACAGTAGAATCAATTTTAGTCTGTTAAGCACCAAGATATATGGAATATATATATATTTATCCGTATATGGCAGATATATGGGAATTCATGATACACACCTTGAGCTTAAACCCACCCTGATACATCTTAAATGCTTCAGATCGTGACTAAATCAGAAAACAGTCTGTCATAGATACCATCAGAAAAACAGTTCAGCTTTGACACATACTGCATTTTAAAATATTGGAACAAATGTACATTTAAAATGAGAGATGTGTTGTTTGGAAAAAGAACACAAGACAAGAACACTGTCCTGACAACTGAGACATTACCTGGAAGCATATCTAC